CCCCAAACCCCCAGGGAAGGAAGGGCTAGTAGCGCTTTCCAGGGACAGAAGCTGAGGTTCAGACAGGTGCAGCAACCTGCTTGGGGCAGCACAGCGGAGCAGCCGTGGGGCCCTCCGTCCAGGCAGGCTGGGGTCTCCCGGTGGCTCTGGGGCCAGTGCTGCTGCGGGCTGACGCCTCCTCCCGCCCGCAGGTGCAGCCCTCGGGCCAGTCGGCCTGCCTGGGGGCCCTCCTCTTCCTCCACACGGGTGACTTCTCCCTGCACATCCGGTCCCAGGCGGACGGCAAGAGCAAGGAGCTGCCGCGGTCCTGGCTCTGCCTGCCCGGTGTGCGCGTGCGCGCCGTGGAGGCGCAGGCCTGAGCCCACCCCGCCACCCAGCTCCTTCTGGAAGGTGGCCAGGGAGCCACAGGGGCGCAGCCTCGCCCCCAGCCCCCTTTCCCCCGTCCGCTCCCCCAGATGTGGCAGCCTCACCCCTTCCCCTACTGTCCCCCAGGACCCCTGCTGGACCCTGACGGAGGGTGGCATCGACCCAGCCCAGGTCTGGGAGCTCTGCACCTGCACCCTGGGGTTTCAGCCCAGCCAGAAGGGAGAACGGGAGCCTGGGGGAGGTGGGGCACAGCCGGGCGGGCCTGGGGGGGCCCTGTGGGCTCTCAGAAACCCCGAGAGCTGGCTCTTCCCCGAGGCCCCAGAGCAGCCCAGGCAGGAGAGACGGCGCCATTATTGATACCACGAGACGCCACGTGCCCCAGCCCACCCCACCCCCGCGGGTGGATGTCCGGGCCCTGGCTGTTTCCAGGCTGGGCGCCAGGGCCAGGGCCTCTGTGTGTCGCTGTGTTAGTCACAAGTTCTCCAATAAAGGGCCGCCTTGCCCCCCGCTGCTCCGCCAGCCTCGGTACCTGTGCCTGCGCCTGCGCCGTGCGCTCAGGGGCCACCCCGCCCCGCGAGGGCCCCAGCCCGTGGGGCTCGTCCGGAAAGCCCCAGGACACAGGACTGGTGGCAGTAGGGTCGGGCCTGTGTCCGCCTGTCCCCGCGACCCCACGGTCCCCTCCCACACGTGTGCCCCGCAGCCCTGGCTCCCTAGCCCCTCTCAGGACAGACTCCAGCCCCGGCACCTCGGCCCTCAGCCCGGCACGTGGCTCTGGCCGTCAGCCTCTTGCTCCCTCTCACCCTTGTGACAATGTTTTTAGTCTCTCGGGAGCTGTCGTGCCCAAGCCCAGGCCTCCCGGGCTGGGCCGCTAACAGGGTTTGGCGGGCCGCTGCTGCTGAAACGCGCCCGTGGGGCCGAGTGACAGCAGGACTCTGCCTTGCCGGGCTCAGGGGTGCCACCCGAGAAGGGGCGCCTTATCAGACTGCACAAAGCCACCGCCGGGGCTGTAGTGGCCCACGCCTTCGGCCCCATCAGCCTCCACCCTCGCTGCCCACAGAGGTGTCCCCCAGCAACCCCCTGCCCAGGACAAGGAGGGAGGCACAGGCCCCGCCAGACCCGCTTCCCAGGCTGGCTCGGGAAGGGTCTCCAGAGTCTCGGTCAGAATACCCCCAGCAGACCCCAGACAGGAATCTGAGCATGAGCAGCTGGTCTGGGAGCTGGGGGACCCCTAGGAGGGCAGGGGGAAGGGCTGAAGCCGTGAGCGAGCCTTGCTGGGCAGTGGCCACAGTGGGACCCTGGCACTGAAATCTTCAGGGGAACTGGGGGACAGTGACATGTCCCTAGCCCAGGGGTGAGACTGTGTCCTCCGCCCCAGAGACCGCTCCCATGTGGCAGGAGCCAGCCTGCCCTTGTCACACCTCACTTCCAGGAGCATGAACAGACCCCGGCCTTGGGGGTCTCCCCGTCGAAGGTCCAAGGGATCCTGGGGGCGGGGCATGGGAGCAGCGGTGTCCCCACGGCTGTTTGCTGAGACCAGCTGAGTGTGACAAATAGGTGTTTGTCCTGCCCCTGGTTCCTGACACGCTCCCACGTCCCTTGAAATTTCCTGGTAATCGGAGCATGCTTTGTTCTGATGAGGTGACTCTGGGTGGATGGCTGTGGGATGGGGACCAGGCACCAGGAAGACCCACATGATAGAAGCTGGGCCCTTTCAGCCCCGCCCCCCCCACACACACCTGGGGCAGGGAGATCAGAGAAGTCTTCCTGGAGGCGGTGTCTTGGGAGTGAAGCTGAGGGGGGCAGGATCTCCATGGGGGGGCTGTGTGAGGGCCTCGAGGTAAGACAATGGGCTGGGGCTGAGGGGGGCAGGATCTCCATGGGGGGGGGGGGCTGTGTGAAGGCCTCGAGGTAAGACAATGGGCTAGCGAGTCCTGGGGACACGGTGGACCATTACCACAGCTCTCAGGTGCTGGTGACAGGGTCTGCTGGGCAGAGCCAGAGAGGGCGTGATGGTCTCGTGGAGACACGAAGGAGGGTGGCCGGCTCTGTTTGGGGTCCCAGGGGGCTTCCCAGAGTGGCAACAGTGGCCGGGGCCTTGCTGGGGGTCGCCGGGGGGAAGATGGGGGAAGGGCGTGAGATGGAACAGCACCCGCGGAGGCCTGCAGGCAGGGGGCCCACCAGAGGGAGACGCACCGAACCGCTGAAGCGACGGAGCACGCGGCCCCGGACTCTGAAGAGGACAGAGCTGCCTGAGGTAACCGGTCGGGGGGTCTTGGGGCCGGTGAAGGGCTCCCCAAGGGGGCCACAGTGCCCAGGAGCGAGGATGGGCTGTGAGACAAGGATTTGGGACAGATGGCCAAAGAGGGAGGAAGACGGGTCCGGGGCAGGGGTGTCCGCTGGTCTGAGGGCGTGGCTTTGGTGGCTGCCCCCCTTCCACCCTATGCCCCACCCTCTGCACGTGAGCTCCAGACACACCAGCCTGTTCTGTCACCAGGCCTGTGCCCACCTCAGGGCGTCGGCCATCCTCTCTGCTTGACGGACCCTCTGCTCACAGACCTCACTGGCTTCTTGCATTCTGGTCTCAGCTCCAGGTCACCGCCCAGAGGGGCTTTTCCTGACCACCTTAGCTAAGTGGGTCCCATTCCTGGGGGGATCTGGAATGACCTGTTTGCTTGCCCGTGTGCTGTCCTCTGTGGCAGCGTGGGCACCTGGGCAGCTGGCCGGCGGGCACAGGGCACTGGGTGAGAACCGGGACCATGCTCCAGCTCTGCCTTGCTGTGTGACCTCGGGCTAGCCACGTCCCTTCCCTGAGCCTCGACTTTCTCATCTACAAGATGTAGGTAACGGCGCCCACCTCGGCGGGGGCCGTGGAGGGGCCTGGCAAAGGCCTGGGACCGCGAGTCTGGGCGCCCAGCGAGCACTTGTGGGGTGAACGAGCGGAGGGGTTCGCTGGCTGGGAGGCCTTCTTGGCCCCGTCCCTGCGGGACGCGTGGCCTTGGCGGCGCCACCTGGCCTTTCTGGGCCTCCACGTCCTGCTCCGTGAAGTAGCGCCTGCCCCGCTTCCGCCGCTCAGTGCACCAGCAGGGGAGCAGGAGAGGGGGTGCTTTTCCGAGGGTCTTCAGCCCCCCAAGGTGCTCTGTGCCGTCCACGTGGGCGCTCCGAGGCCGGCAGGGCCCCCACAGGACACCTGCTCTTGGGTTCTCTGCCTCCGCCGGCACCCGCCAACGATCCAGCCGCACAGTGCCGCCAGCAGCACCCTGCTTCGCAGGCTCCCCGCCCCCGCGACCCCACGACGAAGCTCCAGCGTCTCGCAGGGCAGTCAGGCTGCCGCGGCCTGGTTCAGCCGCAGCCTCCGCTTGAGGACAGCGAGGCCATTCCCGCAGGCCTCACCCGGGCCACTCCTCAGAGTGCCGGCTTATTTCTAATACCTCCTCCTTCGGGAAGGCTTCCAGGTGCCCATGCCGTCGGCTCCTGGGCACCACAGCCCCACAGCTGCTGTGTCCGGAACCACCCCCTCCCGAGGGCCCGGGGAGGCCAGGCCAGAAACAGACGTGTGCTTTCCGCTTCACCAGCCCGCGGATTGGCGCTGCTCTCCTGACGTTTGCTCACTTTGGGCGGGACGGGCCTGCAGTGGCCCCGTAATCACCCGGCCGTCACGCTCTGTCATCCGAAATTCATCCATAGAGCCCAGATCTGTAGGAAGATGTCCCAGGAGCTGAACCCCAGCTCAGCCACTTGTCAACTCTGTGACCTCAGACAAGGTGCTTGATTTAAGCGTCAATTTCCTCATCTGAACGATTGGACATGAAAATACTTACTGGGCACTTTGATGTTCGTAGTTCAGTTTCATCCCCCCCCATGTCCCCACCCGTGATAGCGCGTCTAGCGCGTCCGCAGCAAATGCTGGCTCCCTCTCCGCCCCTCCCAGCCAGGCGCCTGGGCCCCCACCGTTCCTCTGGGAAGCTTACCGCGCGCCATCACTGTTCCCTGACAGCAGACCCCGCACGACTTAATCTGTTAGGTGACGTGAAGTAATGTAAAGCAGGGCTGCCTGGCACACGCTCAGTAAGGGATTGCCCGGCCAAGGGCGAGCTCTGCGCCCGCCACTCTGAGCTCTTTGTATCAAGCAAAGGCTGGACTTGCGGATGGTTTCAGAAGACACGGACACCAGACGTGGCATCTGAACGTGCCAGCCCAGAAGCCACGGTCAGGACAATGTCAGGCCCGGTCCCAGCGAGCAGAGAGGAGGCCGAGGGGCATGGTCACCTGGCTTCTGGGGCCTCTAACAGTGTCTTAAAGGATTAAAGCAAATAGTAAAGATCAAAAGGGGGTGTCAACATGATGGACTAGGGCCAAGAAAGAGCCTCCCACGGAAAACAGCTAAAAATTGTGGTAATCATACTGAAAACACATTCACGAATGCATCAGGGAATTGGCAGGAAATTAAGAAATCCCCAGCCCGGCACCTGTGTGTGGGAAAAGCCAGGGAGGTGAGCAGTGCGCTGGGGCCAGCTGTCACTGTGAGGCTTTGGCCCGAGTCTTACAGAACTAGAAGGAGGAAGGCAAACCCCAGGGCCCCCCAGGTGGGCGGTCTCATGGGAAACTGTTCCTCGTTAACTTGGGAGCCCAAAAGAGTATGCCTGAGTACAGGGTGAACTGAAAATACCCCCTCTCCCACTCAGGGGAACCTTCTGATTCCAACCCAAACTGGCCCTCCTGTGAATCTGCCATCCCCAAATGCCTCCCCAAACCTCGAGTCATTCATTAACTTGAAAGTGGTCCTGGGCATACAGCGTGCGCGCACACGCACACACACACACCTGCCACCACATACCAGACATTGCACAGAAGTAAACACATCCTTTCTGGAGGAATCCACTTTTATCCCAGATCTCCAGGGGTTTCTATAAGGAACATGAATAATTCAGAGTCTTAAGAGAAAGTCATCAAACACACAAAGAAACAATGCACCACGTGTGTGTGTGTGTGTGTGTGTGTGCTGGAAGACACGAAACCAGCCAACCTAGGCTTGAAAAAGAATTAGATGTTGGCTTTATCACAGTGTGTGTGTGTGTGTGTGTGTGTGTGTGCCAGAAGACACAAAACCAGCCAACCTAGGCTTGAAAAAGAATTAGATATTGGCTTTATCAGACAGATTGTGAAATAAGTATGCTGAATATGCCACAAAAAATGAAAAAAAGATTAAAACGAGTAAAGATCTAGAACGTCATAAAATAATCGACTGGAACTGCTACAACTCAACAACAGAATTGAAATTAAATACTTAATGACTAGCTTGAAGAGCAGATCGAACCCAGCTCGAGGGAGAACTAGTGAATGGGAGGTAGAGCGGAAGGCGTTATAAAAAATGCAGCCCAGAAAGACCGGAAACGAGCAAGGGCCTTACCACGGAGGACGGAGCGAGACGCTCTCACGCACATCTAACCAGAGTTCCTGGAGGAGAGGGTCAAGAGAACGGAGAAAAGGCAGTATTTGAAGAGATAATAACAACTGAGAAT